TAACCTGGAGTCAGCACCAAAGATTCTTCGGGATGTTAAGGCTGTTTCTGTCGAAGACCGGTTTGTTTATGTCGCTGCTCGCACCCCAGTTGACAGTGATAGCGAAGATGGGTTGAGGGCGGTTATTACCAGATACGATGCTGAAACGAGGCAGTGGCAGGATGTGGAGTCTCTGCCGCTCATTGATAATTATTGCTCGTTTCAGATGTCTGTCGCTAACACAAACTTTTACCATACAGCATCGTGCTGCCCCAAGAGTTACCCTATAGATAATGAGGAAGCCAAGATCAAGATCTCTGGCAGGGCCTCGGATGAGATACTTGAAAGCTTACCCCCCGAGGTCCTTAGCATTGAAGGAGCAGCTATTTGTTATTATAAAGATGATGTTTTCATCATTGGGGGGTGGAAGAACAGCGATGACATTGACAAGCAATACAGGAAAGAGGCCTATCGTTACTGTGCTGAGAGAAAGCGCTGGATGCTTTTGCCTCCAATGCCTCAGCCTCGCTGCAGAGCAACAGCCTGCCACGTGAGAATTCCCTTCAGATGCTTGCAGGGAACACAAAGATACCCTATGCCACAAAATTTGATGTGGCAAAAAGATAGAATAAGGCAAATGCAGGAAAGGCAGATGCAGGAAATCCACCGACACTCCCTGAGCTTACGGAGAATGCCACGCTCGCAGATTGAGTGCTAGTTTCTGGAGTATCACTCTTGATGAATCTGGGAAATACTGTGCTAAACCATTTTGTTAGGCTTGATATGTCTTTATAAGACAGGAGGGTGTTGATGGGATTTAGTGCATAAAACCAGCATCTTTATGTTTTGAAAACTAAGCAGCTCAGAAATTGAGGACGCGTGGGTATTAGAAACTGTGTGAATCCGATGGTATTTCTTAGTGGTGCCCAGGGTAAAACTAGCCTGTAGCGGGCTGTTAAATATTTCTGGGAGCATTAAGTCTGTTACTTGCTTCAGATCTTTGTTTTCAAGGATTTCTGGAGAGTTGGTCTCTAACAGTTCTATTTTGAAAATCTGAGAGCTCTGTCTTAATAATTTAGTGGTTACATTTGCGTGTGCTTGAAAGCACCTGTTTTATTTGCACTTATATATTGACATTCCTTTGATTCTCTCCTCAGTGGCTGCACTCCACGTGTCGGTGTTAGTGTACTTGGCTTTTCCAAGTCGGAGGCAAGTGCAATAGCTGTAACTGTGTATGGGAACAAAAGCACAATCTTTCTTTATAGAATTACTTCAGGATGTTTCTATGTGCATTGAATATTTTGTACCTGTATGTTCTAGAAAGGCTGCAGAGTTCGTTTATGAATTGGTAGAACGCCAGGCACGTGCTAAAAGAGAGAACTTGAGGCAGTCGGGGTTTTCAGCTGTATCTGAAGATGCTTTGAGCATCTTTGACAGCTTCAGTAGAAACTTGGGTCAACAGTCAGCCTGATAAAAGGCGTGAAACCAGCCAAGTAGCCGCCCACCAGCACTCACTACTCGTGTCTGTCGGTGTGAGTCAGTAAGAATGAGGTGTTTTCACAGTACTAGATCGAAACCTGAGTGAATTGCAGATCCTCTCTCAGACATTGCACGCGTTTTAATTCTAGTGGAAAAGTGGCTAGAAGAACGCCTCCGAACCGGTTTCCAGCCTGTCTTTGACAATCAGTGCCCTCTGCCTTCAGTATACTTTACAGCAGCTGTGCTGCAGTGCTCCAAACAGTCGGCACTTGGTGTTCCTTCGCGGTGAAACCGCGGAGTTCTCATAACCTCTGAATATCTGAATTTCCCCGCTTACTATGGCGGTAAGATTTAAGCTGACTTAAATACTTTTTGGCGTTCTGAGGTGGTTTTACATAAATCAGTGCCCTGCTTAGCTCTGGTTTGCGTACTGCTATACTCCCAAGGAATGGAACGTGGAATATTTCCTTTGGAGTATCCCTGCCTCTCAGTTCATTGCCCACTGAACACTCCTTCTCCCTGAGCTGAAGAGCTCCAGGACGGTTTAGGTTACTAGTGGATCCAGTGCATCCTTTCTATCTCCTTTTCTTCCCCATCCTTCCCTTCATTTGAATGTTCCAGGTTCTCACGTGCAACCAAACTCAGGATCATGGGGAAGGGAAAGGGAGGAGTAACCAGGGTGCTGCAAACGTTGCGTAGACATTGTCGGGGAATCTGTTGCTGTCTTTGGGTCACACGATTTGCTGGTGTTTGTGCTGTGGGCAACTTCTTTGCAAAAGAACTTCTGAACAGGTTGGTTTCTTGTTTTGGTTTGGCTTTTAATTGTTTACCTTTCTGAGCTGACACTTCTCATTTTCCAGTTCAACATATCTGAAACACCGGGTAAGTCTTTCAACCACGTGGTGTGTAAAGGTGTCGCTGATGTGTACGTCCCTGAATGCTCCACTCTGCGGTTCACTTGCCATTTTTGGTATCAGTAACTTGTCTTTTTTGTAATAACATAATCTAGCCTTGTTTAAAAACCCCCACACTTTACAACCTTAACGGTCCAGTCTCCGCATACTCATCTGTGGTAACACCGGGTAAGTCTTTCAACCACGTGGTGTGTAAAGGTGTCGCTGATGTGTACGTCCCTGAATGCTCCACTCTGCGGTTCACTTGCCATTTTTGGTATCAGTAACTTGTCTTTTTTGTAATAACATAATCTAGCCTTGTTTAAAAACCCCCACACTTTACAACCTTAACGGTCCAGTCTCCGCATACTCATCTGTGGTAGCGTGTTGTACTTTATTTGCCTGTTGGACTGTTCGGGCGGAATGCATTGTAGGATGCTGGCCTCCTGCAAGAGAGGGAAGAGGTGAACTTGCTCAGGTTTAAGGCTGATGTTGAGGAATGGCTGTTACCGCACCGGCTCGTGCAGCCCTGTGAGCCGGGGGTTAATCAAGGGAGTTTGGGCCATGATCTCTTGCAGATTTGGCTGGAGAGGTTGAAGAGTGCCTGCCCTAGAGCAGGGGCTGTGAACAGAAGTGTGAAAATGCCTGACAGCTTTACTACTCAATCCGTTGGTTTAACTTAGATTTGTGGGAGCTCATTTTAAGACACTTTAACAGCCCTTGCACAGAAGCAGCAGAGAAAAGGTTCCGTGCTCCATCCCGCTCCTTCGCTGTATTTAATGAGCAGTTGCAGGGTGACGCTGTGTCACACCAGCACGGCTCTGTCAGAGCCCTCGTCATCCGTCACCCAGGACGGACAGTTGGAGGAGCAATGCCAAGATGATTCTGTCAGCTGTGACGTGAACGCAGCCGTTGAACGTGTGGCAGCGTGCAGCAGTCAGATGCAGGTTGCGGTCTTCACGTTCCGAGCAGAGTTGATAGCGCATGTACCGTGAGAACTTTGGGGCTGATACACAAGCAGTACAGTTTACTAAAAACATTCCACTCAGATACAAGGTCAGAACAGCTTCGTCTCTGGCTGCTGACACGTGTGAATGCCCGCCCTGATCCCCTGTGTGGTGCACTACATCTCCGTGTGTCTGCATGGTGAGTGATGGGCACTGTGAACAGCACCAGTGTGCTCTAACTTCTGCTATGCCACTTCTAGGCGACTTTCAAGTAGTTGGGGTCTTTTTTAGCCTTGACTTTAAGTGGACCAATTGCCCTGCTCCTGGTTTTTAACTGACAAGTCTAACTCTGTTGTGTTACATGTTTGGAAGGGTTGCATTACTGACTCTGGCTGTACTTTGGCCCACTAACCTGTGAATCACATAACAAATTCCTCAACTGCCGTAGATGCTGGGTGTTTATAAAGTGATCCTATAAACAAAAGCCTGGGAATCCTTTCCGTGTGTTTATAGTGGCTAGTTAGTGTCAGTAAGATCCCAGCGTGTATTCAGTATTAGAAGGCTGGCTTCTGGCCTTCCTAATGTCAGAGCCCATCGCGTGGAGCTTTTCCTCCTCCTTAGGACAATCACCCCTCTTTCGGTGTGAATACCTGCCACAAAATGCATGTTTCATGGCCTGTCTTTCCGCTCAGAGTACCAGCGGAGTAGGACACATCCTGCCTGGCACTCGGTGGTCCTTGTAGTACTTCCTCGGTGCGTGTACGCAGTGTTTTATAACCACGTGAATACTCTGTTGGTAGACAGGTTTGTGTTGTTTCTAAGACTCTGGCACGCAGTAGGGTACCACTGCGGAGATGGAGGAAACACGCCAACCTCTCAGCGTGCATTAGGGATAGCTTTGCCAAGCACTCTGCTATCCCAATGTCGCTTTTCTCCAGTACAATAAATGTTAAAACCAGAACCCTTGGCTCAACGTGTGTCATGGATCGCTGCTGAGCCACAGAGAACCGCAACCTTTCGGGTTGTTCTTAACGCCACCTTGTAATAGGATGTTGTAACATTCAGTGGGCTTAAAAAAGCGAGCTTAGGGTATGTGGATGATGGCTGAGATTTCTCATCAGCTGTGTCCGCGTTAACTTGGGGTCTAAATCACATCTCCAGGGTGACAGTCCTGGGCGGAAGTCTGATAAAACAGCTGCTCCCAAGGATCTAATCCTTGGATCTAACATGAATGTGGAACTAACGAGATGTTCTAAGACCATTAATAGTCAGATACTCCTCGTAGGTCCGTGCCACTGCGTATCACAGCAGCCGTACTCCTGTCGATGCTAATGTAGACTTCAGCTGGGTGCTCGGGGAAGCGGCCCTCCCGTACTTACTTCCAGTAAGGTAAAGTTGTGTGTGTGTGTGTGTAGGCCGTTTGAAACAAACCCCACTGTAATGCTCTTCACCTTAACCGCACTGTACTAAAGGTTACTGTAAGCAGTGAACTAATGAAAATAAACCTTCTATTTCTCTAGCGTTGTGTTTATTTTATAAGTTGCTGTGTAGGCTGTGGCTGACGCCCACATTCTGTGGTGCCACAGAATGAAAGTTTGAAATGCTACTTACTCTTTTTGCCTGAATCAATTGTTTTTTATTTTAGAATAGGTGAATACCTTCAGTTGCTGCTCAGAAGGCTTTATTAGCTAAGTGGAGCTCATTAGACAGGCAGGCTCGTTGTCGAAGAAGTGAACCTGACTTCCCTTGGAAAGTTGTCCTCGCATTGGTCGCGGCTGGCAATGTAGTCCCTGATGTTAGACAGGCCTGGCACCACGCAGCAGCTCACAGCGCTACGGTATACGCTCATGTTCTCAACGTCGTACCACTCGTTGGTGCGTTCGTCGTAACACTCGGAGTTGAAGGTGGTACTAAACCCGTTGAAGCCACCAACCACGAACAGAAGGTCATCCAATACTTCGATGCCAAAGTTGCTGCGGGGGTTGAACATGGTGGGGACTGTGCGCCATGCGTTGACAGCTGGGTTGTAAGCTTCCACGGTCTGAAGCCGGTTGATCCCATCAAATCCTCCGACCTGTGGATGCCAAAGGTAGAGTAGAAATAGGCCTTTTCTCACCTGGGAAGTCGGCCAAGCTGTTTTGTGCACAAGTAAGATGGTAACTGGTCCTGCCTCACTGACCTCTGTTTGGGCATCACTGAGCACCTGTGATCCCAAACACAGTGCTTATCGCAGCCTGCTCCCTTGTTTCTGGAGCTTCCAGAAGTACTTTTGTCAGATTTTACAGTCCTACAGGGTTTAAATGTGGTCCGTGGGTAGGATAAACAGGGCCAAGCAAACGCTCTGTGCTACCAATGCTGTTAGCAGCCCCAGAAAATGATTTCTTGGCTGCAGCTGCTTAAAAATCATCCACACGTTCTTCTATACAAGAAGCGTGCGGGTGATAATATTCTCGGGAGCTGTATCAACTGTTCTGGCCCTGACTTCCTTCCCTAAATGCCGCTTAACAAGCCAATGGCCAGCTTGAAAATCTAGGAAACGCGGGTGCGTGAAGTAGCCAGTGCTGGGTGTTGTGGCAGGGGCGCCGCTTACTTACCGCGTACACCTCGTTCCTGTACGCGATCACGCCTACTCCGCTTCTTCTGCTTCGCATCGGGGCTATGAAGGTCCATTGATTTGTTGTGGCGTTGTACACCTCGGCTGTGATCAAGCACACGTTTCCATTGAACCCGCCGCATATATAAACCTGTTCCCCGGGAGGAAAAAGCGCGTGAGCGGGGCAGTTATGCTCGGGGAGGGGGAGGACGTGTTAAAAATTAACGGTACAGCTGGCAGGGGGTTGGAATTGGGTGATCTTTAAAGTCCCTTCCAACCCAAACCCTGTTGTGATTTTTTTTTTTTTTTTTTTGGGTTGGGGGGTAGTTGTCTTGGTTTTTTAATGGGAATGGTCCTGTCTTCCTGGGCTTGAGGTAGTAAAAGTGCAGCGAGTTGCTCAGGCCAGCAGGATTTGGAGCTGTATTTTCCCAAACTGCAGGAAGCAGATAGCCACGGTGCTGGAACCCTGGCCAGGAGAAGTCCTGTCCAGCAGCAAGCGGGCTATACCAGCTCTGGAGGGGTTTTACTGCTCCTGTCTGCATCCCTTTCGTGCCAGTCCCTCACTGCCTCTTGGAGAGCTTGAAATTTTACTTCCAGGATTTATGTGAACCTTATTCCTCTTTATTTTAAACACTTCACCATGTTAAAGAGAGCGTTTGTTACCTTTCCTACTCCCACAGCTCCTCTTTTCCACCCGGATACTTGGAGTGGCAGCTGTGTTTATCAGCCTCAGGAGGAGGCTGAGCTCTGTGCAAGTCCCTCCCTCACCACGCGCCATGCGGAAGGACAGGCGCTTGCTCTCCAAAGCTGCGCACCGATTCCTCCCCCGGCGCACCATCCTCCAGCACTACCTGCTTTCCGTGTTCTCATGGCACATTTACCTTTTCGTGCAGCGTGGTCGCGCTGGCATCGCTTCTCTGCTCATGCATGGTGGCAATCAGCGTCCACTGGTTCGTCTCCGGCTCGTACCGTTCCGCGGTGTTGAGGCGTGTGTACCCGTCAAACCCTCCCATGGCGTAGATGAAGCCGTTGAGGACGGTGACGCTGACGTAGCAGCGCCGCGAGTGCATGGGTGCGACCTGCTGCCACGTTTTCTTCAGGGGGTCAAACCGCTTGACGGTGTTGAAATAATCCACGCTGTCAAAGCCCCCAATCACGTAGACAAAGCCTTTTAGATAAGCAGTGCCATGGTAGGCAAAGGGGCTTTCTTTGCAGGTGACCATCATCCACTTGTCTCCGCGGCAGTCGTACGCCTCGATGGCGTTGGTCGGGCTCCCGTCGCTCCAGCCCCCGATAGCGAGCAAGACGGCATAGGGCAGGCGAAGCCGGCTGAGAGAGTTGCTAGAATTGGAGCACGACGGGCCGCGCATGTTGAGGTTGTACAGTTCTGTCAGGGTGTTTATGATGAGACTTTTGCACTTGATGTTGTCCTTGACATACTCGTGGGTTTTGATGTTGTTCATGAAGTAGTCTGTCTTCATCAGGGCCAGTCGAACCTGAAAAATGCAAAAAACGGAGCTTAGAACGTGAACACAGATGGTTTACGCCTTGGAATCCTTCATGGATGGCTGCAGCGCTGGATGGCTTTGCTTTTGGGCTACAGCATATGAAGCTCATGAGAGAACGAGAGAATTACACGTGTAGTTTTTAGCTTGTCCAGAAAGGGGTGTGCCAGGGTAAACCATGGCAGGGAGCCGCTCTGGCACGGGCTGAACCTGCCCCGGCGCCTGCTGCTCTTTGCACGGTGTAGCCCCGCAAGGCAAACGCTCATAAACTGCCCCGACGGAGAGATAACGTCATCCCGTGTGAACTTTGGCCCTTTCTGGAGGTGAGGAACAGTTAAACTTAAGCTCTGAACCTGAGGAAACGCGCCCTTCGAAGGTCCCAACCCCAGCGTAGGAACTTCGACCCGTGCCCCAGCGCAGCGATAGCCTAACGGTCTGGGCAGCCTCTGGCTCGGCTGCCCCTCTGCCGGGATGACACTGACCTTGCCCAGCAAAACCGCGATGTGCTGCCTCCTCTTCTGTGGGTCGTGAGCGATCCACTTCAGAATCGCCTCGAACACGTGGCGTTCTTCCTGCACGTTGAGCTCGTCCTTCTCAATGATGTTCATCAGCTCGTTGGCAGAGAGGTCTAGAAACTCCGCAGAGACCTTGACGATCTCCACGAAGTGGTGGAGGATGAACACGTAAGCTGCTTCTCGCAGCTCGGGGCAGTGGTAATAATCCGTGAGTCTGTAGATGCCGATGCAGTTTTCAAAGCACATCTCGGATTTTAAGAACTCGCAGCACAGCCTGACGATACCCATGATGCTGAACTGGTCGGCGGCACTGAGCAGCTTTTCAGCGTTCTCAGCCGTGACCAGTACTGTCTGGGTGTAGGCGTACTCAATAATGAGCCTCATAATTTCAGGTGAAGTGCCGGGAATTTTGTATACGATCTTCTCTGCCGTGTTCCAGTTGCTGATGAACAAAGCCCTGAAAAAACAAAGCTGTGCTAAGGGAAAAAAAACAGCTTTGCTGCCTGAAACCCTGACCCTGTTTATCCCCTGTGCCGCCTTCCCCGGGCACCAGTTTGGGCACTAGCAGTAGCCGTGCCGGGAGGCTGTGTAGTTTATTAATTTGTGTTTTACTAACTGCTTGGTGTTTAAACAGAGTCTCAGCCTCTGGCTGTGGACAGAGCAGCAGGGCGAGTGGCCACCTTGCTTCACCAAGAATACCGGAGAATATTGGTGCGTGGGGACAGAAAACCTCCCCCCCGGTGGCAGGTGAGCCAGGCTGCCAGCCCTGCGCCGCATCTGGGGGTTCGTCAGACACCGCTTCCAGGGCCGCTGTTGGATATCTGGTTGTGGATTGATTTGGGTGCCCAGGCGGGACTGTGGGTGGTGAGCTTTAGTGCTGAAGATGCAGGAGGGTGGCATGGCACAGACTAGGAGATACTGACTCAAGCACTCACCAGAAGTAGTGACTGCAGCTACAGAGGACGTTCTTGTGAGCGTTGAATTCGATACCATCCACGCTGATGATCACGTCGCAGAGCTTCCCTTGCAGGCGAAGCTCGTTGAAGACGGCGCAAGCCATGGCGCTCATCTTCCTCTCCGTGTATGAGGGTAAGTATCCCGCAGGCACCAAGCTATCGCCCATGTTGGAGGCTGGGGTAGGGGAAGGTGATTCTCCCTGAGGTGCTTCGAGGTTCTGTCCGTGCCCTCACAGGTTGCGTCTGAACGCCTGTCTGGTTGCTATGCAGTATGCCTCATTGTGACGTCAGAGCAGAGGGGAGGAGCAACCAGGGACTGGATGAGAGCCCCTCTGCAGGCAATGGGGTCCTGGTCGTCCCGCCCCCCTTTGTTTAACCACAGCCCACCGCACCCTCTGCCTACGGCCTGCTGACAGCTGCTCTGAGCGAGACCGGCCCCGGGAGTCCTCTGCAACTTTTTCATGTTCTTTAGCCCAGACATAAAGCTCCCCAAACGTGGGCACCAACCGCCCTTGTACAGCTCCTGCGGGAGGATGTGGGGACAGGCCAGCCAAGGGTGGTGACGGAGCCGCACCGTCCCTGCGCGTCTGCTGCCCGTTTGGAGCAGCGGAAGCTGCTGCCCTGGGCCCAGGGGAGGAGACTGGGGGGACAGGGAGCCCCGTCCTGACTCCTCGCTGGCTTCACTCATGGCCGGGTGCTTTTCCTCCGTGTTTGCCATGTCACTCGGTGCCAGGGAGCATCTCTGCGAGGGTCTCGGCTGGGACAACAGCGTGGACTGGGCGCCGAGGGGCGTTTTGCAGTTACATGAGTTTTGTGCTTACGCTGAGGGGAGTGGGACGGCGAAGAGAGCCCTTGTTGTGGACCTTTTTTTTTCCCCAAACTCTCCTTTCTCTTTCGCTTTCCTGGCTCGGAGCGTCTCGAAGAAGAAACGCAACCGCAGCC